CTATATCTATATATCTATCTATATCAGTGGTTCTCAACCCTCCTAAGGCCGTGACCCTTGAATACAGCTCCCCACGCTGAGGGGACCCCCGACCATAACATTATTCTCGTGGATACGTCATCGCTGTCATGTTCCTGCTGTTACGAATCGTCATGGAAACATCTGATCTGCAGGATGGATTTTCATGGTGACACATGGAACATCATGGAAGCACAGTGATCAATCACAAAAACAATATGCGATTATCGATGTGTTTTCCGACGGTCTGAGGCGACCCCTGGGAGAGGGTCGTTCGACCCCCAAAGGGGCCGCGACCCACAGGTTGAGAACCGCTGCTCTAGTCAGTCATTTAGGTGCTAGAGGCCCAGTGCATGAAATCCGTGCACGGGTGGGGTCCCCAGGCCTGGTCGGCGATCAGGGCCGATCTGTGGGGCGACCGACGGGGCGATCAAGGGGCCCCCACTGGCACCCGCTTTGGCTGGCCTGGGGCTGTGGGCTGGGGGCATCTCCTGCGTTGAACGTCTGCCCCCTGGTGGTCAGTGCGTGTCATAGCGACTGGTTGATTTGCATATTGGGCTTTTATTATATAGGATATTTTTTTGCTTGAGTCAGGTTGGGGAATATATGGAATATATTTTTCTTTTAGTTTCTTTTTTTTTAAAAATGTTTTTATTGATTCCAGAGAGGAAGGGAGAGAGAGAGAGAGAGAGAGAGAGAGAGAAACATCCATGATGAGAGAGATTCATGGATCGGCTGCCTCCTGCCCGCCCCCTGCTGGAGATCGACCCCGCAACCGGGCCATGTGCTCTGAGCGGGATTCGAACCCGGGACCTCCTGGTTCATAGGTCAACGCTCAATCACTGAAACACAGCAGCTGGGCTATTGTTTTTATTTTTCAATTACAGTTATATTCAGTATTATTTTTCCCTCTTCTCTCCGCCCCACCATCCCCACACTGATGTCGATTTCCGTGAGAAATTTCTCTCTTTTTATGTCCTTTTTGCTCAATCCCTGCCCCCAGGCCCACTCCACCCCCCTCCTCCGTGCTATCTGCCCTCTCTCTCTCTCTATTCCATCTCTATTTCGCTTGTCTGTGTGGGGGTGTGTTTCAATAGAACATTACAGAACGTGCATCCCAGGGCCCATAAAAGCCGATTTCATTTTCAACACGCGGTTTTCTCTATTAAAAACGTGCATGAGAAATGTCGGCGGTAATTCAATATTAAATTAGTTCCAGTGTTTGACTACGTGGTGATCTCATCGCGGGCCCCCGCCGACGGTGGTTAGGGGAGGGGATATATATATATATGTCCCATCGGAGGAACGTTCGGCTCCTCTCCGTCTAATAGGATGTGTGTTTTATTCCCGAGAAAAGAAATCGTTCGATAACAAAATTCACAACCTAAAAAAGAAATTGCCTGGTGTCAGTCTGGCTGCCAGGTCCTGAGATTTTAATAAGACGCCCAGCCGTCTATCGGAGACCTATCACATTATACACATTTATTCCGTTCCTGCCGAAGAAAGTGCGAAATGCGTCCTTCCCAATTCTAGCCAAACTAAACACCATTGATTGTTCCCATTTTTCTCTCAGGCTGTGTCTTTCAGAGCAAAAAGCAAAAGAAAAAAATCTCTATATATTTGACCCGTAAAAAACCCTGTATCCTTGGCCTGTTTGGCTCAGTGGTTAGAGCATCGGCTTGTGGACTGAAGGGTCCCGGGTTCGATTCCTGGTCAAGGGCACGTGCCCGGGTTGTGGGCTCAATCCCCAGTAGGGGGCGTGCAGGAGGCAGCCGGTCCGTGATTCTCTCTCATCATGGATGTTTCTACGTCTCTCTGTCCCTCTCCCTTCCTCTCTGATATCAATAAAAACATTAATAAATAAATAAAATCATTTAAAAAAATATATGTCAATTATTTTTTTAAAAATATATAAAAAAATTAACGGACATCCTTCCGGACTCTGAGCGTGGAGATATTTTATTTATAAAGTCACACTTACATGTTTTTATTTATTTTATTTTTTAAAAATATATTTTATTAATTTTTTGCATTTAATAAATGCATTTAAAGGACATTTTAATACCTTTTTCTTGAACATTCACTTACCAGACACCGCATAAAGGCATTAATGAATATACGTAACCAAATAAACCTGTTTTTCTCGTTCTCCGAAAGCGAGATATTTTCCGTTGCCCATGCCAAGCAAGTCAGTTCGAGACGAAGGACGCGGCCACCGGCTGCTAGAACATTCGCTGCCGGTATCAGTGGGGAGAGATAGCACGCCTGCGCCTATAGCACGTGAGGGACATGAATGCAACACGATGACAGTCATCGGTCATTATGGAACGTTGTAGTTCGTAATTAATAATTATGTATAACAGGATATTGTAAAAATTAAGTGACGAGCCCTGGCCAGTGTGGCTAAGTGGTTAGAGCATCGTCCCGGGGACTGAAGGGTCCCGGGTTCGATTCCGGTCAAGGGCATGTACCTTGGTTGCGGGCACATCCCCAGTAGGGGGCGTGCAGGAGGCAGCTGATCGATGCTTCTCTCTCATCGATGTTTCTAACTCTGTCCCTCTCCCTTCCTCACTGTAAATAAAATCAATTAAAAAAAAATTAAGTGACGAGACCTTTATTAAAACGTTTCTTACATGCCATCCTCTTGGCCGGGGCTGCAGAAATATCCGTTGTGGGCCGCGTGCGGCCCCGCGGGCCGCGAGTTTGACACACTTGTGCTACTGATTAGAAGTAACGGGGTATTATTTTAAGATTTCATTAATTTTTATGGGGCATTTCGCAGGGTGGGCGGATCTGAGGAGGGAGGAGGATTTGAGATGGCTTTTATGGGGGGTTTACCCCGGGATACGTTCCAGCGAAATTGATTTCCCTGATTTGTCTCATTCCCGCGTTTGCATAGCTCAGGTCTGTAACCGAATTCAACACTCGAGAGCCGTCAGCTGTCTTTGGGCCCCTTAAGTGATTTTATTTGCCACGGAAAAAGACCAAGATGGCCACAGATTAAATTCACACGGAACGTGAAAGGCGATACCTAATTCTGCTTGTGGGTCAGGCTGGGCGACGCGAAATTAATTCGAAATTGCCGTTTGGCAGATAATTTTCTATGAAAGTCTCAGCAGGGGGTTTTAGCGTTGTCCGTGGACTGAGCTCATTTAGAAACGTTGCCCGGAAAGACAGAAATTGCAGAAATAAACCTGTTGAAAAAGGAGGAGGCTATGGGGGTAGGTAAGCGTCCGTGTTTCGAAAGGGACCGTGTGTGTAGTCACAGTGATTCGAGACTGTAGGGCTCTACCCTGGTTCATTGTCTGACTTGGTTGGGCATCTTCTCTGTGCATTGAAGGGTCCCGGGTTCGATTCCCGGCCAAGGGCACACTCCCAGGTTGCGGGCTTGATCCCCAGTAGGGGGTGTGCAGGAGACAGCCGGTCCATGATTCTCTCTCATCATGGATGTTTCTATCTCTCCCTCTCCCTTCTCCCTAAAGAAAAAAAAAAAAAATTCAATAAAATCGTAAAATAAAAACCCAATAGGATACTTAAATGGATGGAAATATACCGGGTGTCCCTCAAAATGTCTCTACATGTTGATTACTTATTCATTCTATTGGGTTCAATCTGAAAAGAAGAAAAAAAATCCCTTGCGATATCAGACAAGAACGTGTATACCTTTATGTGGGACGCCCTGTAGATAAATGAAACATAACTACAGCCCATGCATAAACCCTAACATTTAGAATTGATGGGCTTGCTTTTTAAGAACATATATTTTTTTTTTCAACTAGAGGCCCGGTGCACGAAATTTGTGCACGGGTAGGGTCCCTCGGCCTGTCCGGCACCCACTCGCAATCCGGGACCCTTGGGGGATGTCGGAGAGCCGGTTTCGGCCCGATCCCGCAGGCCAGACCGAGGGACCCCACTGGTGCACGAATTTGTGCACTGGGCCTCTAGTAAAAATATATTAAAAAAAAAAAAAAGCCATAATGACGCCCTGTGTACCGAGCACATAGTAGGAGTTTTTGGTGTGGTTAAGGCTCACTCCACACAGTGTGTCTACATACGAATTCCTGTGGGGCCTCCCGGCGTCGTGTCCAAGGTAGGTGACTTCTGTTATGCATTTTTTTTTTTTTTTTACAAATTCGAACAGCAATAACCTTGAAGCCACGACGTAAGAAGGGTTTCAAACACAGCCAACGTCGTTCCCCCTGTTCCAACTTCGGAAATACTTATTGAAAATCTTAGTGTGAGTTTTTATTTTTAATTTCGTCGGGAAGCATAGGTAAGTCCTTCTGTGGCCGTGATTTAAACTGGCCGCTGACCTTCCCGACTTTTACCCCAAACGGTGTGTTTCTGAGTTCTCACGCCGGACGCGCCTGCCCACGTTGAGCTATGTCGATGGACGTTGTTTTCCCGTGGTTTATGGCTTTAATGTGTTTCTCCGTGTCTGCCGTGGAATTTCGTTTCAAGCCAAGCGTTTAAAGTGACGTTTTTCAAAGAATGCATCTAGGTGATTCCGTGGGACCCTCCGAAGACCGTTGGGTATTTTACATGCATTTCATGTAAGATCGGAAAAAATCTCCTTTGGGATAATTTAATTTTATTTCTTTTTTTTTTTTCCCCTCAACGTCCCATTAGCTTATTTTCTTTTATTTTTTTCTGTGCAATTGTCTCATTTTTAGCCCCCCCAGAATGCATTTTCTCAAACTACCCAATTTTTATTTTTATTTTTTTTTGCAAATAACACTCCAAATCGTTTCTTCTTGACATATTTTCTGTTCCTTCACACGTTGCATCACCCTATTTCATATTTTTATTTTTTTGAAATCCAGCGGAAACAGCTTTTAACTTTTTTGTATGACATTATTTTTTTTATTTTTTTTTTGTCTTTGATTGGGTGGTAGCTCTCTCTCTTCTGAACTTTTTTTTTTTGCCAACCTGTTGGTTTTGAAATCTTTTTCCCTTTACTTTCCTTCCCGGTCTGACGCCAGGAGCCAACAGCAAGAGAAACACAGATGATATAACCAGTAATGACCGAGGGGATGACGAAGGTATATTTTTTCTTGTTTTGTTTTTTTTCTTTTTTCCTTTTCCCCCTCCTCCTGAGCTCGATGCATGAGTTTATATATATCTCTCTCTTTTTTTTTCTTTTGCATTTCCTCCTGTTTTTCCCCCCTTGACCTGAGATTAGTACGTCTCCGCGTACTTCTTCTTGTTTGCAAACCACTGTCCTTTTTTAAATCCCACTGACGGTGCGATTACGGCCCAGGCATTTCCCGTGAGAAGACGTGTACGTGCGTCCTTTAAAAATACGAAGTGAATCAACAAAATGTGCTTGACAAGAAAATCCACTTCTTGTATTTTTTTGTTTTTTCTTTTCTTTTTTTCTTTTTCTTTTTTTTTTTTTTTTTTTTAAGCCTGGCCACAAGAAGAGAACTGAACGTTGAACACACACACATATGCATGTGTCTATGTGTCTTTTCTTCCCTCCCTTCCGAATGTGGTTTTGTGAGCTCGTGTTGCATTTTTGATCTCCGGTCTGCATTCCGTGTGTGAACTGCAAAATTCTGTGGACCACATTGGAGAGACTTTTTTTGCGGGGCACGGGGAGGGGGTTCTGGGTGGCCTTTTTCTCTGTTTGTTTCTTTGTTTTCCAAACAGACTGGTTCTCTACACATTGATCATGGCTCCCTGAATCTCTGTCCTCAAAGACCATTGAGAAATACTGTTTTCCCATCATCTATATATATAAAAGCCTAATGACCTAACGACCAGTCGACCGGTCGCTATGACGTCTACTGACCACCAGGGGGCAGACGCTCAATGCAGGAGCGGCCCTCTGGTGCTCAGTGCGCTCCCACAACCAATGAGCAGCCGGCCAACCTCCCCGGGTCCCTCCCGCTGGCCGGCTGGACCCGATCGGTTCTGATCGCCAGCCAGGTCGAGCGACCCCACCCGTGCACGAATTTGTGCACCGGGCCTCTAGTTGTTTAACAAAACAGCAACGTTGCCCTATTCCGTCTGGTTCAGTGGACGGAGTTTCGTAGGCCCGTGGATGGAAGGGTCCCGGGTTCAATTCCAGTCGAGGGCACGTACCTTCATTGCAGGCTTGAACCCCAGCCCTGGTCGGGTGCCTGTGGGAGGCAACCAATCGATGTGTCTCTCTTCTCTCTCACATCCATGTTTCCCTCTCTCTCTCCCTCTTGTCCCTCCCACTCTTTCTCTCTCAAAATCAATGGGAAAATGTCTTCAGGGGAGGATTCACACACAAAAAATAATAATCAATCAATAAATACAACAAGAAAGCAATCACTGAGGGTTCTCACTGATTGAAAACCACAAGGAGAGTGTAAATTTCCAGGGAAAATAGGTAGCATTTCAGTCATGTTATCTGGAGGTGGGAGTCGTGTGTCATTTTTTACCACATTTTTAAAAAAATATCTTACTGATTTTTTACAGAGAGGTAGGGAGAGGGATAGAGAGCTAGAAACATCGATGAGAGAGAATCATGGACCAGCTGCCTCCTGAACGCCCCCTACTGGGGATGTGCCCACAACCGAGGTACATGCCCTTGACCGGAATCGAACCCGGGACCCTTCGGTCCACAGGCCAATTCTCTTTCCACTGAACCACAGGGTCTAAGGCTAAATTCTTAATTAGTTTATTTTTTAATCCTCACCTGATGGGCCTCCCATATGGGCTTATACCTGGGATGGAACCCGTAACCTATGTGGGCCCCCTGACCAAGAGTCGAACCCACAACCTTTCAGTGCATTGGATGATGCTCCAACCAACCAAGTCACTGAGCCACCCAGCCAGGCTAAATCCTTAATTAAAAAAAAAAAAAATATATATATATATATATATATATATATATATATATATTTTATTGATTTCAAAGAGAGGAAGGGAGAGGGAGAGAGAGAAACATCCATGCTGAGAGAGAATCATGGATCGGCTGCCTCCCGCACGCTCCCCCCACTGGGGATTGAACCCACAACCCAGGCATGTGCCCTTGACCGGAATTGAACCCGGGACCCCTCCGTCTGCAGGCGGACGCTCTATCCACTGAGCCACACCCACATCTTTACTGGGCGCCCGTCCTTCTTCGAGGTTCCTCACTGCCTGTTCCCCCTTCCCCTTCTCTCCCCAGACATCCACGACCAGAGCAGTAAGAAGCCGGTGATGGTGTACATCCACGGCGGGTCCTACATGGAGGGCACCGGCAACATCATCGATGGCAGCATCCTGGCCAGCTACGGCAATGTCATCGTCATCACCATCAACTACCGGCTGGGCATTTTAGGTGAGTCACGTCGTCCATCCGTCCGTCCGGGCAGGGACCGGCTGCCACCAGCCGGGAGTCCGTTCTGCTGAGTTGCGTGTCGTGAGGTTGACCAGATGGCCCTTCTGCTGAGTTGCGTGTTGTGAGGTCGACCAGATGGCCCTTCTGCTGGTTGCGTGTTGTGAGGTCGACCAGATGGCCCTTCTGCTGTTTGCGTGTTGTGAGGTCAACCAGATGGCCCTTCTGCTGTTTGCGTGTTGTGAGGTCAACCAGATGGCCCTTCTGCTGTTTGCGGGTTGTGAGGTCGACCAGATGGCCATTCTGCTGTTTGCGGGTTGTGAGGTCGACCAGATGGCCATTCTGCTGTTTGCGGGTTGTGAGGTCGACCAGATGGCCCTTCTGCTGTTTGCGGGTTGTGAGGTCGACCAGATGGCCCTTCTGCTGTTTGCGTGTTGTGAGGTCGACCAGATGGCCCTTCTGCTGTTTGCGGGTTGTGAGGTCGACCAGATGGCCCTTCTGCTGTTTGCGGGTTGTGAGGTCGACCAGATGGCCCTTCTGCTGAGTTGCGTGTTGTGAGGTCGACTAGATGGCCCTTCTGCTGTTTGCGTGTCGTGAGGTCGACCAGATGGCCATTCTGCTGGTTGCGTGTTGTGAGGTAGACCAGATGGACATTCTGCTGGTTGCGTGTTGTGAGGTCGACCAGATGGCCCTGGCGTCGCCCCCATCGCTGGGACATCCCACTTTAAGCCTCCATTCCACATAGGTGCGGGGGCTGTGTCCCCCTTGAATGCTTTCGAGGGGTTCAGTAGGAGAGGCCACGGGCATGAGCAACGCATTTGGGAACGAATGGGCGATGCTGTGGCAATGGTCGGCCAGGGCCACGGATGTCGCCTTTGTTTCGTGGTCGCGTGGCAGGCGGTATGGCGTCTGGCCTGTCGGAAACACGTTCCCCTAATTTTTTAGCAGATTTTTGCTGTGTTTTGGGGGCTCCCAGGAATGGCTGTGTGGTGCCCAGGCCCATGGCTTTTGCATGAGATGGAATTTACTAACTGTTCGTTGATTGTGGGAACATTTTGCGGTTCAGCGGGATTGGACGTTGGCTGAATGCGTGGACATTCGAGCTCACCGCCCACTATTTTTTGCATTTTGTTCATTTTTCTCAGACTGGGTGTTAAATATATGTCGTTGGGGGATATATTTTGAGGATGACCTCTGTGTTTTTTGTTTGTTTGTTTGTTTGCCTGCTGTGTTGCACAATTCATGACTAGACTATCCCTTGATCTATGGAACAGTGCTCGTGTTCAAAAATGCATCGGGGACGAGGCCCCAATTGGATTTCGGACGTTGCGATTCGGAGAATGAGGCCTGGATGTGGCTGCGTGGTTAACTGTTAAATATTAGAAATGCAGTAAGATGGATGAATGGATCCGTGTCCAACGAGAAACATGGCCGAACACGTTTTCTCTAAATGGACACGTCTCGCCTGATGCTCTCGTATTTTGAGATTGATTTTCCGTGCCCGTGTGGGAACATTCACCTCTACAAGACGCCAGGAGCAGGCCTGAACTTGTAGAAAACACATTTCTAGCCTAGGCATGCACATCTCCCCACGTGTTGGCACACAGTTGAGCTTTGGTTTTTAAAATATGTTTTTATTGATTTCAGAGAGGAAGGGAGAGGGGTAGAGAGAGAGAAAAATATATCCAGGATGAGAGACAATCATGGACCGGCCGCCTCCTGCACGCCCCCTACTGGTTGGGGATGGAGCCTGTAACCCAGGCATGTGCCCTGACTGGGAATCGAACCCTGCCCTCCTGGATCATCGGTTGACGCTCAACCACTGAGCCACACTGGCCGGGGCACAGTTGTGCTGTTTGGAGCTTTGATAAAATACTCAAAATCCCTTGTTGGTTTTTTGGTTCTTTTTTTTTCAGGAAAACAAAGTCTTAGATTTTGAGCCTTCTCATTTTCTGATTTTCTTTTCAATTTTTTACTTTGCAGGTAACCATTTGTTATTATTATTGTTACTAGACGCCTGGCTCACAAAATTCATGCAGGGTGGGGTCCCTAGGCCTCACCGCCCCATCTCTCTGCCTCCTTCTTCCCTAGCTCCCTCACCCCCCCCCCCACCGCTACCGCTGGTCGCCCGCCATGATCTGTGCCGCCCCCTGGTGGTCAGCGCACGTCATAGCGAACGATCGCATTCCTGCTCTCCCGGTCGAACTTCCGAGCGAACAATTTGCATATTAGCCTTTTATATATATAGTTACTTTGTTTACTATATTTTTTTAATTAAATTTTACTGGGGTGACATTAGTCAACATGAGCATATAGGTTTCAGGGGTGGATTTCTAAGTGACAGAATCTGTATATAACACCATGTGCCCAACCCCCCAAAGTCGAATCCTGTCGGTCGGTCACAGGAAGAGCTGTAACTGGAATCCTAACCTTGTGGTTTCCCTGACGGCCAGTAGCTAAGTAATCTGAGTATCTAATGAAATGCTAACACGCTTTCAAAGAGACCCAACTATATATATAAAAGCCCAGTGGCCGTTTTGGAAGAATGACCGGTCGCTATGACGCGCACTGACCACCAGGGGGCAGACACTCAATGCAGGAGCTGCCCCCTGTTGCCAAGCGATAAGGAACGAGCAGGTGGGCGGGTAGGAACGAAGGGTCCTGGATTTGCAAGAGGGATGTCCAACTGCCAGTTTAGGCCTGGCAGTCGGACACCCCCTGAGGGGTCCCAGATTGTGAGAGTGTGCAGGCCAGGCTGAGGGCCTCCCCCCAACCCCCGCCCAACATGAATTTCATGCATCGGGCCTCTAGTACAATATGTCTATTTTTGGTGAATATTTTTGTCTAAACAACAGAAACATAAAGGAAAAGCAAAATAAAAATCCCGTATCATTACAATGGAACTGAAAACATCAGACGTCCATGATTTCAAAAGTAACTTTAGCACTGGCTGGTGTGGCTCAGTGGATAGAGCCTCAACCTCTGAACCAGGAGGTCATGATTTGATTCCCGATTCGATAGAGTCTCGGCCTGCGGAACGAAGGGTCCTGGGTTCGATTCCCGGTCAAGGGCACAGGCCCGGGTTGCGGGCTCCATCCCCAGTGGGGGGTGTGCAGGAGGCAGCCGATCCACGATTCTCTCTCATTGTTGACGTTTCTCTCTCCCTCTCCCTCTCCTTTCCTCTATCTGAAATCAAAAAAGTTTTTTTAAAAATATTTTTTAAAAAATCATTTGGCTCAGTAGATAGAGCGTCAGCCTGCGGACCGAGGGGTTCCGGGTTCGATTCCGGTCAAGGGCATGTACCTGGGTTGCGGGCACATCCCCAGTAGGGGGCGTGCAGGAGGCGGCTGATGGATGTTTCTCTCTCATCGATGTTTCTAACTCTCCATCCCTCTCCCTTCCTCTCTGTAAAAAAAATCAATAAAATATATTTTTTTTAGAAAGGTGGATTTTGCATTGATAATCTGGCTGTTTAGCATCCGGGGATGAGCTACTGTGAGGTCCTGGACCTCACAGACGCCCTTTCATTGGATGCGGTAACACAGGCCAGCTCGTCCCAACAGACACTTCGACGGAGGTTGCAACATGCGCCCTTCTTTCTCTTTAACGCGGATTTTGCGTTTGCCCCGGGACCCCCGGCAGCGGCCGGCCGCCATCCCCTTCTGCCTTCCGGGAAATCAGTATCGTTCCCTTCACAATTATTCTGAAACCATTAGCATCTGGATTCTTACGTCATAATCCGATACAATGCACTGTGCCCAGTGAGGGTCATTCCGATCAATGCTTTGTGCACGTATGCCCGTGTTTGGCAAATATCGTTGAAATATCGTCGGATGTTTTTCTTCAAAAACTTGTGCGTGCCTGGCCCGGCCGGTGTGGCTCAGTGGTTGAGCATCGAGCTGTGAACCAAGAGGTCATGGTTCGATTCCCGGTCAAGGGCACAGGCCCGGGTTGCGGGCTCCATCCCCACTAGGGGGCGTGCAGGAGGCAGTCGATCCGTGATTCTCTCTCCTCATGGATGTTTCTCTCACTCCCTCTCCCTTCTTCTCTGAAATTGATAAAAAAAATAATTTACAAAAAGCCATACATGCATAAAATGCTGTTTTCCTGTTCAAGGACGGGAAAATATTATTAGAGATGATTATTGTTGTTGTATTTTTTGGTTTGTTTATTTTTTATCAGTAATGAGTGCTGTTGTCCTACCCAAAACAGAGGGTGAAAAATGAATGATGATAAAAACGGGAACTACGGTAAAAATGGGTGGCGGCTTGAAAAGAATGTAGATTTTTTGTTGTTGGTAATCCTCCCCCAAGTATGTTTTTTCCCGTTGATTCTTAGAGTTGGAGGGAGTGGGAGAGACATTCGTGGATGGGTTCCCTCCCCCATTCGTGCCCCGAATAGGGCCCGGGATGGGACCTGCCACCGGGCTCCCTGATTCGATGCCCAGCCCAGGGCACATACTCATTTCCAGGTTCCATCCCCGGCCTCATTCTGGGCACAAGTGGGAGGCATCCATCCGATGGGTGTCTCTCACATCAATGTTTCTCTCTCTCTCTCCCCCTCCCTTCCACTCTCTCTCTCTCTAAAAAAAAAAGAAATCAATGAAAATAATATACCAGCCATAGCCTGTTTGGCTCAGTGGATAGCGCATCGGCCTGCGGACTGAATGGTCCAGGGTTCGATTTTGGTGAAGGGCACATGCCCGGGTTGTGGGTTCTAACCCCAGTAGGGGGCATGTGCAGGAGGCAGCCGATCCATGATTCTCTCTCATCATGGATGTTTCACACTCTGTGTCTCTCTCCCCCTCCTGTCCACTCTCTCTAAAAAGCAATGGAAAAAATTGCCTCGAGTGAGGATTAATAAAATAATAAAATAAAAAAATATACTGGGTGAGAACTAAAAAAAAAAAAATCTACATATATAAAAGCCTAAGTGACCGAACAACCGAACAACCGGTCGCTATGAGCACACTGGCCACCAGGGGCAGACGCTCAATGCAGGAG